GCCAAGGCCGCCTAGGAGCGCCTAGGGCCGCCTAGGCCCGCCTAGGCGCCGCCTAGCCGCCTGGCCGATTTTTTTGGCCGATTTGTGCAAATCGGAGACGCCCGGGCACCGCCTAGCGCCTAGGCGCCGCCTAGGCGGCTGCCTAGGCCGACTTTTAGAACGGTGATCTAATATGATATCTGACATATTTCTTTGTTGATTTGATTTAGTACACCATTTAACTATTTTAATTTTTAATTTGATTCATTTGATAAGGATGAAACTAGTTTTCGAATTTAATCCTAATATTTAAATATTTGGTTTTGCAAAAAATAAGATTAGCATGGATACTTTGTATTTTTGTATAGCAGTATAGTTATTTTCACTATTTCATGCATTCTGTGTAATGGAAGTTGGTATTGTCATTTGTCAAGATGGTGTATATAAGATTTATCCTCTTAATGCTATTGCCTTCCACTCAGAATCATTCTTAGGAAACTAATACCGCTGCCTGCCTTTTCTCTGACAATGTTGTTTTTAAAATGAAAAGCGCTATAATTCTTTTCAATGGAAAATCTTGATTGTTGTTGAAATCTTAGGATAAGGAGGAGCCTCCGCTGGAAGGCCGCTTGCCTGATGCTACCAAAGGTGAGTTTGAGTATCTTCTGGTTCGGCAGTTTTGTTTTCAATATGAAGAAACTAATAATAATTTCACTTGATACTGGGAGATGCGTCATATTATTTATCTCTCATGGGTGATCTATTTATTCATTTGTTGTAGGTTGCGACCACTTGAGGGACGTTTTTGTCAAACAAATGGGTCTGAGCGATCAGGATATTGTAGCACTCTCTGGTGGCCACACTCTGGTTTGTGTTTTTATCTTATTCATTATTCCCTTGTGCCATCATCTGTAAATAATGAATTTTTGATGACTTGCAATTGTGGAACACTCTCTATCTACTGCAGGGAAGGTGCCACAAGGAACGATCAGGATTTGAAGGAGCATGGACTTCTAACCCTCTCATATTTGACAATTCTTACTTTAAGTAAGACCTAGTACTAGTATGCCTTTTATTTTTAATTCACATATCTGGAGCTTTTAGGATATAGAATCAAATATTGGTGCATCTTTCGTTCTGGTGTTATATAATTCGATTTGTTAACATAGGGAGCTTCTGACTGGAGAGAAAGTAGGGCTATTGCAATTGGCATCAGACAAGGCACTTCTTTCTGACCCCGTATTTCGCCCACTTGTCGACAAATACGCTGTGGTGTGTTTGGTTTTTACGTCTCCAGTAATATGAAACCATTCTATTATGTCTTCTGCTTGACATGATTTGTTTTTGAATTAGGATGAGGATGCTTTCTTTGCTGATTATGCGGTGGCTCACATGAAGCTCTCTGAGCTGGGGTAAGTAAGCCCCCTCTATGCCAATAGATTTTGTCTTCATCACCTTGTCAAAATATAAAAATAAAAAATAAAAAGTAAAAATACAAATGTTCTTTTAATAAAACCTTGATGCATTTACAGATTTGCTGATGCGTAAGATATGTGCGGATTGAGGAGGAATGAGAAGGGATCGCCTGTTACTTTTCTACTCTTTTATGCTTTTCATTTTTTGATGGGTCCATTGGTGAGCTTCATTTGATGGATTTATTTGATTTTAACAATGTTGCTCAACACAGCACTAATGATACATTGTGGTTGCCTTTGATTGATGCAAAATAAGTAGAAAGATGGATTGATATACCCTCTCTCTCTCTCTCTCTCTCTCTCTCTCTCTCTCTCTCTCTCTCTCTCTCTCTCTCTGTATGTATATGTATATCTCTGTGTGGACTGAGGCAGTGGAACTTAAGAAATCGAACAGTCAACTAAGATTTGCAACTGGAAGCGTAAACCTCGTATAAAATAAGTCATTTATTAGGGCACTTTTGGGAAGTTTTATTCTCTTGGATTAAAAAGCTCATTTTTCACATCATTTATTGGACCGGGAATAGTCCATCTGTTTCGTGCAGTTGAACCAAGGCTCTTCGACATTTATTTTAGACCAGTATCATTTTCTTGCAGTTGAACCAAGCCTATTATGCATTTATCATCAACTTTACTACACGTGTTCTTACTTCTTAAGAACAGTTATTTTATTGATTTCTACATTGTTGACAAATTGAAAATATTTGATTCCTTTCTCCTGGAATTTGAAAAGTTGCCCTAGAGGCACTGCAGTCAGCCCCTAGGGGCCATTGATTTACACACACACTAGGGGCAGTCAGTCGGGCTCTTGATTTTACATACACTCATGTGGGTGTGTGTGTATTTTTGTGTAAATCAAGGGCTCCTAGGGGCTTATTGCAGTGCCCCTAGAGCAGCATCGAATTAACCCCTTTCTCCATTACCTTTGTCCAACCACTAATGTAAAACTAAACATTGTACGATATCGTCCATGTGAGATAGTATATGGGTGGTTGGGCCGGTAAATGGGACTCTTTATTTAATCTATTACAAGCATTCATCTGAAATTTTAAAACTCAAAGGATTAAACTAGCCAATTGAGCCATAATAGTTGGTATTAGACGTGGCCAGGTGTCGGGTTTGGGTCCGGCCTGGCCCGCCGGGCCACGGGCCCTCAAACAGCCGAACCGCGACCGGCCCGCTAGGAACGAAGGGCCGGTTCATAGAACTGGCCCGAACCGCCGGTTCACCGGCCCTGCAGTTCACGGGCCGGTACGGCCCTTAAAAAAAGCAAAAAAATTGGCCCGGCCCGTCAGGACAAAAAAAAAAAAAAGTGACCCTTAACGGACCGGATTGGCCGCGGTCCGGTTCTCGAACCCGGCACTATTCATGCCGGTACCGGTACCGGGCCGGTCCGGTCCGGTACCGGGTCACGGGTCGGGCCACGAGCCGGGCCGCCCGTGGCCATGTCTAGTTGGTATAAGAAATCTTGCAATATCCAGCTATATGCAATATTATTCTACTATTTTGTATCTGCACATAATTAATCATACATGATCTTAATTTGATTATTGAAAAATAAACTGAATTAACCTTAACTCTTTATTAAATCTTAAGAAGTAGCTTATCTAAAGATCATTTTCATCATAATAACACTACAAAAAAAAGTCATATTTCAATGGAAAATCCTACGGTGATATATTCCAATGAAAATTCTAAGGGATATCCGATGATATAGCTTCCATTGGAATGATTCCAATCCATTATTCAGTTGGAATGAGTTTTCCATTGAAATTTAGATGGAAATTTATCATTTCAAATGGCCATTATTTCAACGATTTTTCACCGTAGGAATTTTCGTTGAAATTTTTATTTTCACCCATATTTCAACTTTTGGAAAATGTACCGTTGGAATCGTCAAAATCCAACGAAAACTACAATGGAAAACTCATTTCAACGGAATATTTATGTTGAAATTTCCATTTGAAATTTCCATTTCAATAGAAATAATAGAATCAGAATATCTATTAGAATTGCCGTTGGAATTTTATTGAA